CTCAGATACTTTGACCTGCAGTTGGAGTTAGGAGGCAGAGGGGTGGTGGTACAGTACCCAAGGCTACATAGATTAACTTCAGGAGTAAAAGAAACAACAACCAACAGACAAAAAACACTGTGTAAATGACTTTTTAGAATTCTTAGTTCTGACTTACTGAGTGAACAAATGTTCCCAGGGTGTTAAAAAAAAAGAATATGCTAAAAGTAGGTTTATTAAAATTAGTTTACATATTGCAGTATTTTTTAAAAGGTGTTTTACAGACCAAGTCAGATAAAGTTTCTCTCTTACTACTTACTAAAATCCAGCATTTGAAAAATTGTCATCAGCTTGGATTACAGAATTTCAAACATTTTTTTATTTTGCACACATCTTTCAAGAGTAATTACACTTTCCACAGCAAGCAATATTAAGCAGTTCTATGTTTGTGAAGAATTTAGTTTGACTTCTTTTAAATAAACTGAGGAAGGAAAAAGAAAACACTTCTTAAAGCACCTCTGTTGCACATTTTATTTTTTGATAACTTAAACTTCAGTAAGAAACAAAGAAAAAAACTGAAGAAACAAAACAGCAGCAGACTCACAGAACACAAGAATGGACTAACAGTTACCAAAGGGAAAGGGACTGGGGAGGATGGGTGGGAAGGGAGGGATAAGGGGGAAAAAGGGGTATTACAATTAGTACACATAATATGGGTGGGGGGTGCATGGGGAAGGAAGTATATACAGAGAAGACAAGTAATGATTCTATAGCATCTTACTACACTGATGGACAGTGAATGTAATGGGGTGTGTTGGTGGGACCTGATAATAGGGGGAGTCTAGTAACCATGATGTTGTTCAAGTAATTGTACATTAATGATACAAAAAATAAAAAGATGGAAACTTCAGAAAGAAAAATAAAAGGAGGAGGAAAAAGTCTTTAAAACCATGAGTTTTGTTAACATTTCTTTTATAAGTGTTGTAATTGTTAATTAAAATACTTAGATATCCAAGTTTGACATTTTTCAATAGCAGAAACATTCCTAATAATTTATCTCTTGAAAATAATTGCTCCTATGGTTTTTGGAATTATATAGTTTATTTAGTTTCCTAATATAGAATTTCAGACTACTTCAAACACCAAGAGCTGACAGGTCTTGGGGAAGAATGAGTTTGTAGAAGTGCTGACTAGATGTTATTATAAGACACATTCCCAGGATCTAGTAACATTCGCAAAGAGGCAAGAATAGACTTTTGCATGTTATGTTCCAACATTAATGCTCGGCTGCCAAAGATGATCACATGGGAACAGGTTCCTCTGCAGAAAAATGCTTTCAAGCATAGGAGATTCTTTGAAGAAGAACAGATGCCCACATGTAGCACTCATACTCATCAACAAGAGCAAGAAAAAAAAAGTATAAGCCAAGATTTTTATACCAAAGAAACATAGTTATACTTTTGTTTTGCTCTTGGTAGTCATTATTAAAAGAGAAATTATTTGGGGGTTCAGATAAGTCTGCTAATCCCACCATGTACCGAGTTCTTCCGTAAGTGCTCTTCTTAAGTTTCATGCTCCAAGACAGTGGTATACCTTAAAATGTCCTTCAGATATAATTTCTTGGGTAAGTCTTGTCTTAAATTTCATACTATTAAAGATTATGTCCACTAGAATATAAACTCCACATGGTCACTTTTTTTTTTTACCATTTTGTCTACTGGTAGAGCCTCAGCATCTAAGTAGGTACTTGATAAATATTGTTGAATGAATAATAACAATGCCCCAATATATTTAGGCTCTTGCAACAAAATATATGCAGAACATATTAATAACAAAATATACGCAGAACATAATAAATTAACACTTAATGAGAAGGTCTCATTAAGGCAATAGCTTGGTCTCAAAGCCATGGGCACTGAACTATACCTTGGACTTCCTTCACAAAATTTTGCACATACCAGGGCCTCTTCCAAATAGCAAGTTATGTGACCCAAGACTTTTTACTCCACTCTCTGTGTAACTTGCCTACACCAAGTAGAAAGTGTGCAAGGCCCAAATAATCCACTTCGGGAAGGAGGCCAACAGTTCTCCCCTATCTCAGCCCATCCCTTAATAAATAACATCGTTGGAACCAGGAACATCTCACCTCACAGCCCACATACCCATATACCTTCTCCTGTTATGCCTGGGGTGTGAAGCCATGATTCCTTCTCTTCTCTTATTCCCTTGTACCAAAACCCACTGGTCTACCCACTGATAGAGTTTTCCAAGAAATTCTATAGAACTTGACAAGGATTCAAGATTTATCTAGTCTTACCCAGGATTTGGAACAAAGAACTTTATTTCTCAGAGCCAGTCACCAATTCAGATGTAATTTCCTTCAGAAGCCTTCCCCAGTTTCTTGTCTAAGTCATCCTCCTCTCTAGTCCCATAATACCTCGAACCTCTCTCTGAGCACCAAATTGTACTGAAACATTCAGTGGGTAGCTGCTTCTCCCACTAAACTGTAAACTTCCTAAGGGACCGTGTCTTATTCTTCCTCAGCATTCATCATAGTGGTGGCACAGTGCCTAGAATACAGCAGGTGCCCAACCAATGCTTGCTGAGCTCTGCTTCTTCTCCATGCTCTCAGGCACTAATCCTCTTGGAATATTGTTATTTCAAATGTTCCTCTAATACAACTGGTGGCACTATTTGAAAACCATTATTTGATATTCTGTTTCAGAAAAGATGTCATCTTTGCTTTAAGAAAACTGTTGTCCATAATCTCATGATGTACAAGGTCAGGATCTTGGTTCTAGGTTATAGAAACCCAAATAGAACTAGCATAAGCCAAATGAGGAATTTATTGTAAAGATAATGACATGTCTCTTACAGCCCACAGACTCTGTGAGTCTGGAATTCCATTATTGAATTATGGAATGGAATAAGGCTAAACTGTGAGAATACATGTAACAGGAAACTCAAACTCACATGAAACTCATGTTTCATTTCTGTCCTCTGACCAGCCTTCTTTGCTTTTCTAGTCTACATGGAGCAAAACATGACTGCCAATAGCTTCAAAATGCCCATTTTTATACCCCTAATACCCAAAGAAGACTAGCTTCAGTTCAACACCAATACCCCTGGGAATGACTCCAGTTGGCCCAACTTCATTAAATATTCACCTTAAACCAACGAAATGCAGCTGGGGGTGGGGTTCAAAACTACGGCCAGGTTGTTGGACAGACAGTCCCACAGATGCCCACCACATTTCCAAATTCTTTAGCTTCTAAAGAAACATGGTCAGAATGGACTGTTACAAGTGTATGGTAGTTTCTACAAAACACAAAGTTTTTAGAGCAATAATGTTCAAGTTTATTTCTAATAATAATTCGTGGCACCAATATAAATTCTGAAGTCAATATATGTTTTCTCTGTTTTAAAAATAAATTTATTATACAATAATATTGACAAGGTTGTTTAATATAGGCAAAACAGTTATAAAACACATTTTGAAAAGATATCAAAATCCTTAAAGTCTTTTCTTGACATCAGACCTATCAAATTTCAAGAGACACCATTAACATTTTTAGGATCAAAACAAATTTTCAAGCCTGAATTGGCTTGAGAGATTCCACTGGTCAGCCAACATCAGCTCAGGAAAGAAGAAACATTTATGGCATGTTTTTTTGTTTTAAGTACTCTGAAAAATGTTCATTTCAAGCACTCTTAGTATCAAAGAAAACTGGGAAAGATAAAGGGCATGAATGAGTCCTGAAAGACACTTTTGAAAAAAAAGCACATATAACATAAATCACTGGATATAATTCTGCTTCAAGGATGGCTAGTAAGTCAGGAGAAAAACTAGATTTACAAAATGAAAAGTTATTTGACTTAGCTGGTATTGATACTTGAGTTATTTCTGTGTTATATACAAGACAACCTTAGTCTCACTCAAAACACTACATGTGATAGGTGATTTACAGTTTCACATTGTGTCTGAGTTCTTTGCTTCATGTTATATATGGAGTCTACACTGCAAAAGAAAATTTACAAAAATTCTGGAAGAGAAGCTGCTTGGCTGACAGGCATAATGACCAAAGTGCAGCAATCTGGAGGCATCTTCCATGGGTTTTTATAAGTGACCCACCTAGTCAATGTAAAAAGTTCCATCTTCTCTGGGAATATTGGCTAACTATAGATTTCATTTTTTCAGTTTTAAAAGAGTCCTTTAAAAATATCCTATGGAGTTTGAGGGAGCATTTGGCAAGATGGTCCAAAGTAACAAATGCTTATGCTCATGATTTCACTACAACAATACTCACCTGAAAGCAATCAGAAGCACTGTTCCTTAGAACAAAAATGAGGATATGGTCACAACCAGTCTCTGCTTGGGCTCTTCTGTGCCGTCCTGATCACTACTCTGTGAAAAACAGTCTTTTCCAGTGCTATTATTTATAGTTTAGTGAGATTTAACAAACTCCAATTGACAGAAATGATGCTTCAAGGGATCAAACTTTGAACTTGGTTCTAATTCCAGCCCCACCAATTCCTAACTCTGTAAATCTAGGTTAGATTATTTAATTTCTGAGGGCCTGTTTCCATATATGGGAAATGAAGATTATACTGGATATCTTATAGTTATTGAAAGTATTAAAGGAAATAATATATTTCAAACTC